GGCCTTCTCCTTTACCAGAACTTTCCTTTCCTTTCAAAGGCAGATGTGAGTCCAGAAATGTGTCAGAGGCCTGTGCCGGCCGCTGGGTGGGAGGCTCCGGAACTGGCTGCAGAAGAGGGCCAAGGACCAGCCAAGTGAGGGCGTGCTGGGCGGGGACCTGTCACCCCCGGATCGGGCCTGTTTCGCCTCTGGCCTCTCTGGATACAGGGTCCTTCACAGAACCCTCCACTGGAGCTTTGCATCCGTCTGGGGGCCCTGTCTCCCTCCCCCCTTTTTGCTTCTGCTTTTCCCTCTGCGCTGCTCGCCGAGCCTGGCCATTTCTTGCTTCCTCTCCTCGGCCTGCCCCTGGCCTACTTGGCTTTCGTGCTGAGGAGGGACCCTCTCGGGGGCAGGCCCCTCATCGTGTGTATCTCTGCGGCTCGATGCGTAATTATTGAAGAAATAACCAAATGAGCAAATACATGAATGAGCGGGTGAACACCTTTCCCCAGACCACCGTCTGACATTTGTTTGTACCGTAACCACCCATCTCGGAGGGACGTTGGTAGCGGGGCCTACCCGTCTGGTTTTTCTGAACGATGCAGCTCTCTTTCTGAATGAGGCCGTTTCCATGGTGTCTGTGTGGCAACAAACGGGACACGGAAACCCCTCTTTTGCACCCTGGGCGTTTCTTAATCGGGTGCAGGACTTTCCGTGTCTGGACCTTAGGATTTCTGAATCTTTGAGTGGAAGCAGAGATAAAACAGAACGTCTCAAACTGCCAAATATGTGGCTTTGGGGTGGCCTCCGTCTGGGTTCCGGGAGGGATCTGCTGGCCATCCCGACAGACGTCATTGTCCTCGGGCGAGCCCCAGATGTTGGCAAAATAATCCAAGAGCAAATAAGCCCAGCGGGGATGTTAAGGCTTCTGTTTATAGAAGAAAGAAAAGTATGACCAGAGCCTTACGCTCAAAGAAGTATAAATTGGCCGTTGAAATGAGCAAGTATTTTAAATCAGAGGTATGTTTGCGCACACCTACCCGCCGCCTCCTTCCTGCCACCCTGGTCCCCCTGCCCTGCTGGGAGGGGCATGGTGGCTTTTGGAGGACATCTGACCACCTCTGGCTGCCCCTCACTCGAGGCACAACCCCAACTCCACTTCGAGCCCGGCTGGTGGGGAGACCCACCCCCAGATTCTGCTGGGGACCCCGCTGTCCCTGGATGCTGCTTTTTGTCTCTGAAATCGGCTCCCTTGACAAACCCCTGTCTCCTTTTGTGCCCCAACCCGAGTCCCTTTGTCCCTCCGTTTCACTGTCCTTTTAGCCGAGGGTGGCTGTCCCTGCATCCTTGCAGGTGGAGAAGTCCCACCAGCCAACTCGTCTCCTTGGAGCTGTGACTTCTCTGGCCTTCGCTGGCCCAGTGGGGTGGCCCTTCGGAGAAAGGCCATAATCTGTGCTGGGCTGGGGAGGAAGGGCGTGCTTCCTTTGGGCTGCGGGCTGAAGTTATAATATGTTGCTGAGGTTTTCTATCTGTAACCCATTCATTTAAAAATATTCATTTTTAAAAAATATATATTTTTATTGATTTCAGAGAGAAAGGGAGAGGGAGAAACATCAGTGATGAGAGAATCATTGATCGGCTGCCTCCTGCATGCTCCCTACTGGGGATCGAGCCCACAACCTGGGCATATGCCTTTGGCCAGAATCAAACCCAGGACCCTTCAGTTCGCAGGCTGACGCTCTACCCACTGAGCCAAACCGGCTAGGGCTACTGTCATGTTTTGATGTCCTGTTATGTGCAGGGCCTGGTGCTTGGGGTTGGGAGGCAGAGACAAGTAACCTGCAGGCTCTGTCCTTGGGAGCTTGCGGCCTGGAGGCGCAGGTGGCCAGCAGAGTGAATGTAGGTGGGGCAGTGTAACAGATGACACGGGGCACTGCACGGGGCGCCCTGGAGCTCAGCGGAGGGCCACTGATACTCCCAGGGGTCGGCTGCCTCTCGGGGTTGCTCCATCCTCAGGAGTTGCCGAGGAGCTGAGGGACCCTCTCGAGAATCGCTGACAAGAAACACACTGGGTGCGGGGAGGGAAGGAGTGTGAGGGGCTGGGAGAGGCTGAAAATGCCCCCAGAGTCTCAGCCACAGGATAACCAAACAAAAGGAGCCGCACACTGTGAGCTGCTCCTCTGGCCCGAGTTGCCTACTTGAATTCCCAGAACAGCCCCCGAAGTGTAGAATAACTAGTTCCATTTGTGGATGAGGCTCACTGAGCTTGGTCCCGTGTCCAAGGTCACGCAGATGGGAAGGGCAGAGCCTAAGCCGCCCCTCCCTGTGTGGTCCCTCCTGAGGCAGCACTTCTCTTCCTCCACATTCTTGTGGGTCCCCACGCATTCTTCCCCTTCCCACTCGGCCCAGAGCGGACCCTGACCCCTGGGTAACAGGCCCTCCTGGTGGCAGGCGAGCGGGTAGCGCCAGCACCACCGGCGCAGGCCTCCGCGGTGGGGCTGCAGATTCCTGTTTAGTTCCAGGGGAGTGTTGCTGGCATCGAAGCCAGGGCGGTTTGCATGGAATGTGTTTCGAGGATGTTCTGCGGCCTCGTGGGTTTCAGGGGCTGAGGTGGCCGCTGTTACTCTGCGGTGGGGCAGTGGGGTGGGTGGGAAGAGAGCTTGCTTTGGCACCAGACCCACCTGGGGTTCAATGCTGGGTTAAGTAGGAGGGAACAATTCCAAGATTAGGGAATAAATAATGAAAGAAACATAGCTGAGATATTTTTTTTTAAATTTAATTTCTTTGGATGACATTTGTCAGTAAAATTACATAGGTTTCAGGTGCACAATTTTATAATACATCCTCTGTATATTGTATTGTGTGTTCACCACCCCAAGATGAGATATTTTTTAAGCATCAGATTCCTCATAAAGGAGGGAAACGGGCTCCCAGCAATTGCACAGGACACCCTCTCTTTCATGGGTGCCCCAACTGAGTTCTACTGCCAACTTTCCTCCAAACCACCTTCAGCTGAATGAGAAAATTATATCCTCGCCTACTCTGGGCTTCTAGTGACAAAAACCCAACTCAGACTAGGTCGGTGGTTGGCAAACCGCGGCTTGTGAGCCACATGCGGCTCTTTGGTCCCTTGAGTGTGGCTCTTCCGCAAAATACCACGTGCGGGCGCGCACGTACAGTGCGAAGTTGACTTAAAACTTTCAGTAAAGTTTATTAAATTAATTTTAGGGAACGTGGTGGAGTGAAAGAAGATGTAGTGTCGAGGATTGAGAAAGGTATGCTGAGATGGTTTGGGCATATAGAGAGGATGAACGAAAGGAGATAGACGAAACAAGTATACAAGACGAGTGTGGATGGGAGAGTTGGAAGGGGTCGACCTCAGCAAAAGTACCTCAATCAGATTGAGGACGTTTTTAGCAAAGGCCAGCTTAGCAGTACCCTAATGAAGTGAATAACAATGTACCTACCTATACAGTTTAAGTTTAAAAAATTTGGCTCTCAAAAGAAATTTCAGTCGTTGTACTGTTGATATTTGGCTCTGTTGAGTAATGAGTGTGCCGACCACCGGCCTAGGTTATGTGGGGGATAGGGCCCACTGGGGATACTGAAGTAGCCCACGGGCACAGGCGAGCTGACAACGGGCAAGGCAGGGACCAGGGCAGGATCTGGAACTGCAGAGCCTGGAATGCCACCGTCCTTTCTGCTTCTCTCCACAAGACAGTTTCACTTTCTGGCCTTCCCCATGAGCTCGGAACTGTGGCCATTCATGGACTCCAAGCTTGCATCTTAGCTTCACTAGTAAAGAGCAAAGGGGGCTCTTGGTTACAGTTGCAAAGTCCCAGGGAAGGTCTCCGATTGGTCCAGCTTCCATCAGATGCTCAGCCCTGGGACCAATCCCTGTGTGGCCAGGGAGGCAGGGTCACGGAGGAAGAAGGCAACTTCCACAGATCATGTAGGCAGGGGTTGGGGGAAGTTCCCCCAAAGAGAATTGAAGAAGCAATCCGGAAGAAGAAGGATGCTGGGCCGACCAGACACTAAGTGGCGCTTTCCCCTCATATGGAACCCATTCACACAGCGCAGTGGCTGGCTTCCTGCTTTTCAGAGCCACAGGAAACCAACCCCCAGTCATGGTTCTTGGGTGATTGTGGGGGTGTGATGGAAAATATCAGAGCATCTCAGATTGCCATTTTAGGAAAAGTCTTTTCATCCACAATTCCAAAGGGTGTTGTAGCATGTTTTTGTCTTTCTACTGCACAGACAAGAAACTGAGGCCCTAAGGTTGTCCAGTGAGTTGGGAACAAAACTCAAATCAAAACTTGGGTGTCCTGACTCTGAGGTCCTGTAGGAAGTTTCTGCAGGGACTGAGGCAGGACATAAGCCTGGCTCCAGGCCCTGAACCCCGCTCTGGCCAGGAAGGAAGAGGTTCTCCAAGGTCAGCCTGCCCTTCCACAGACATGTGCAGAGTGCTCCCTGCGGGTCAGGTTCAGGACCAGATGTTCACAGCCTCATGCACCCCCCCTCCCCCCGCCACCAGATAAAACCTAGTGACCATACAAGGTGGTGAGTGCCATAGGAGGAGGGCACCTGGCCTGGGTGGGGAAGAGGAGGGAGTGGCCCAGGGGGGCTTGTCAGAGGAAGTAGCCTTTGAGCTGGATGTAGGACAGTGAACTTGACAGGCAGAGAAGGTGGAAATGCATTATGGGTCAAGTGAGCAGCAGCTGTGAAGACACGGCGGCACGCAGGAGCGTGGCATCTCCTGTGTCCTGACCCCAGGAGCAGCCAGGTCTCTGCACCGAGTAGTTAAACCTGCTGATAACACAAAGCTCTCTCAAGGTCAACTCCTGTCCACCTGTCCTCCGTTGCCCTGCAGCACCCGCATCATTATCCCAGCTTGAAGGGTTTACTTCTTGCCCTCAGTTCCACTCACTACAACCTCTTGCCCCACATCAGGCTCCTGGTACAGGCCTCAGAGCCCTCTGCCCGTGACCTGTTCCTGAGGATAGGCTCTGCCTCTGTTTCAGAATCCCGGCGGAGGGCCATCTTTGAATACCACCGTGTGGAGCTGGACCCCAGCAAGGTCACCAGCACGTCGGCCGTGGAGTTCACCCCATTGCCAAGTAAGCAGGGGTGGTTCCTACTGACAGGGGAAGGCAGTCTAGGATAGTTGTGTCCTAGAAAGATCTTTGGAGTCAAACAGACTGAGTGCCATTCCCAGGCCCACCACCGACCCCTGTGGGGATGGCCACTGAGCAACCCTGGGCCTCCATTTCTCATTTGTCACCTGGGCCGACCACCACCTCCCTCCCAGAGCGTGGGTCAGGGTTAGAACCACAGTAGGGAGAGTTGAGGACACGAATGGCAGCTCTGACACTACCCAGCACTTCTCAGGCCTGGGCTGTGGTCTGTGCTGGACAGACGATGGCTACTGTTACTCACACATCATTGAAACCCAGGAGAGAGGCGCCTCTCAGGACTTAGACGGAGCCCCAGGAAAAATAATCCAGGAACAGAGCCCCAGGAAAAATAATCCAGGAACGGAATTGATCCATCAGGGAGAGCAGGGTGGCAATGCATTATGGGTCAATGCATTATCAGTGGATTTTCCTCAGAGGAGGGGGATGCTGGAGTCCACAGGCTGAAGGCCATAAAAGGATTTCGCCAGCAGCTCTCCAAGGACCATGGGGCCCTGGCCCTCTCCTCTCTCTGCACCCCACGCACCTACAGGTGAAAGCAGGTCATGGTCAAGGCCCCTGTTGGCTGCTGTTTACCCGAAGGATCAGGGTGGGATGCTCGTCAGGATCTGGTCAGAGCAGCCGGGGGGCTGAGGGAGAGGACAGCACTCCCGTCCTTGGGTTTTTAAAGAGGGTTTTAATTTCTTCTTCTGTCTCACGGTGCCTCCCAGCTTCTGAAGCCATGGCCTTTCCCCTGCCTGTTTCCCCGACCCCCACCTTCTCCTCTTCCCTGGAGGTTCTGGGAGCACAGGATGGAGAAAGAAGAGGAGGAGGAGGGTCTCGAATGCTAGGTCACAAGTCTGAGTCTGGGCTCAAGAGGAAGGACCCAGACACCATGGGGTCACAGGGCTAGGACACTTTGCAGGCCTCAGCCCTCCCTCTGGGCCAGAGAGGCCTGGGGCCTGAGAACCGGTGGTTTCTCAAGAGCTGGTGAGAGCAGATCTCCGCTCCTAGGACTCGAATCACACTTCATGTAGGAGCAGGGACATCCGAGGACAGGGCTGACTGCCCCGGCGGGGCGGGCGGAGGACGCGCACTGTCCTGGGAATGAGTTTCTGGGACACTGTTCGTACGTGTGAGCCGCGTCCCACCCTCCTGTGGATGTGGTGAGCCCTGGCTAGCACGCAGGACGTCCGACATGCCGATGAGAAATGAAGGTCAGTGGGTCTTATCAGCACCCAGGAGGCACCCAGGGTTTGTTTTCAGTTTAACGAGGGCCATTTAGGGGCCTGCAGAGTCACAGGACGTGGGCTCCCCTGTGGGTGCAGCTGGTGGGGGAGGGGACAGTGTTCCGGAGGCTGTGATTGGAGCCCCTGGGAGGCCAATTAGCTTTGCCTTCCGAAGACTGCATCCCCCCCCAGTTCAGGCTCGTTTCCTTACCTATGGGGGAGGTGGGGGGTAATCCATGATTCTTCCAGAGGTGTGGACGGGCCATCTCCAAGCCCCTGCCTGTCTCGGCTGGTCCCTCTTCTAGAAGAGGCTCATGAAAAGGTGGTGTGGGCTGAGGGCAGGTGCTGGGGCAGAGGGACCCCACAGAGGCTCAGGGCTCAGACCCTCTGCTCAGAGAGATCTTCATTCACACCCAGACCTGCCGCTCTCAGCTCAGTGACTCTCCCCAAGCCTCAGCTCCCTCTTGTACGATGAGGGAAACAACAGCATCTAGAGAACGGTAAACACGTTCACTGCCTCCCACATGCCAGGCACTGCTCCAGGCCCCCTGGATGCCCAAGGGCGCGAACCCGCCAGGGCTCTCACTCTCGGGCCAGGCCAGTTTCTGCCTATTTCCTGCCCGTGGCTCTCCACCCACCCTTCCAGGCCTGCAAGGACCTGGCAGACAAACGGACGGACGAGGTGCTCCCTACAGTCAGTCCCTCCCTCAAAGCTTCTAATGGTGTCTACTCTGTGCCCAGGACGGCTTTTCTCCCACTCGCCAAGGGCTGGTTCCCAGCTTCCATCTTGGGGGGGTGGGGGCATGGAATGCAAATGGATTCTCTGATTGACGGATTGTGGAGAGTCCCATGAAAACTCACACAGCGAAGAAACGCATGCGATGTTTAGCGAACAAGGGGTCGCTTTTCTGTGGCTGGTTGTCACGTCTTGCTTCTGTCATCGTGTTCTGTTCAGCTGCTCATCAGATGCGCCTTCAATGGCAGCTTTTCGGGGTGGGGGCCTGTCTCTCCTTATAAAAGTGCTGGGCTTTGGGGTAGCACTAGCTCAGGGCCGGACCTTCCTCCTTGCCCACCCACCCACCACCACTACCCCCCCCCCCCCCCCGCCCCCAGAGACAGAAAGAAGGGAGGGAAGGAGGGAGGGAAAGAGGAAGGGACTCAAGTGAGGGAGGCGTTAATGAACTCCAGGGTTCCTGTTAGTCGGAGACTGCACAGTTCAGTGAGGACTCGGCACTCAGGAAAGTTGTACTTTGGGGGGCCTGTGGGGGGCCCGTTGGGGGCCTGTGCTGAGGGGCCGCTGCCTTCTCTCTGCAGCCTGCCTGGAGCATCGGAGCTGCGACGCCTGCATGTCCTCGGACCTGACCTTCAACTGCAGCTGGTGCCACGTCCTCCAGAGGTTGGTGCCGGACTGACCTCTGGTCCCCGCAGGCAGCCTGTGGGGGAGGGGCAGAGGGAGCATGGCCGGCTCCTCGCCTCAGGCCTCATTGCCAAGGTGACGGGTCTCTGGCTAGTCCACTCTGACCCTGAGGTCAAGAAGGTCACAGGAATGAGCTTCTCCCTGAGGCTTGTGACCAATTAAGGTGCCTGTGTGGCAGGGTCCCTGTGATGACATTGGGCTCCTAGAAATCCCAGCTCCTGCCGCCCCCTCCTCACACCTGGAAAGGGTTGGCTGGCCCTGGGGCAGGGCTTTTCCGAGAGGCCTGCAGCCTCCAGCGTTCCAGAATCCGAGCACTAAGGCTCGTGGGTCCCCGGGACGCGCCCCAGGCCCTGCATCCGCATCTCTGGGAGAGAAGCCGGGGGCCTGCATGTCAGCTCGGTGCCTCATGTGCACACACGCCTGAGACCTGCCGGCTCAGAGACGGGGTGACCCAAAGACCCATTGCTGCTGGGTTGAGAGCTCCAGGACCCCAGCAGGTCTTCCTCGGGCTGCAGCAGGGTTTCCTGAAAACCAGGGGCACGGAAATGCCAGGCATCTGTGGGAAGCTGGGCAAACAAAGCGGTGTGTGCTTGGTTTTAGGATGAGAGGCGGGTTCAGGGATAAAGTTCTTAAATCAGCTTGTCTTCCCCTCCTGGTCCTGAAATCATTTCCCCACAGATGAGGCTCAGCAGCTGAGCCCTGCTCTCCTGTCCGAGAGAAGTAAACGGCAGAGGGGCGCTAGGCTTCTCTTGAGAGGGGGATGCCCCATGAGCTCCGAGAGCCTTTAAGGCAATCTTGAAAATTGCAAATTACAGAGTCCCCGAGCCCCCTACAGCCAAGATACATCTGTCAGCCTTTCCTTTGCTCCTTTCCAATATCCCGGCAGAGAAAGAGAAGCCATCGCCTTTGCTGAGCCCACAGGACACAGGTCCGGCTGGGAGGAGAGAGAGCCCCCGCCCCCCACCCCCCTCAGGCCTCCCAGGCGTTCCTCCCACAGCTTTTATTCACTGTTTGTTTTCCCTGTAAGAGGGGCTGGGGCTGTGTGGTCAGAGAAACAGGAGTGAGGAATGCGCTGTTATTTTAACTCCTCAAATACCAAACAGCGTTTTTGCAAAGTGTTCAGGCCCCTTCGCATGAAAGGCACAGAGCCTCAGAGAGAATACAGAGGGTGGGCCCCAGGCTGGTTCTTTTCCGAGTGGAGCCTCGCGCGTGGCCCATCTTGTGCACGTTCAAGCTCGAGAGCCACCATCTGGGCGGGCGGCGTGGGCCGATAACCCAGGGGAGCCCCGATGAGCCCTGGAACCCTGGGGCTGGCTGCCACCGCGTGACTCGGCATCCAGCGACAGCTGAGCCATGAGAACTGCAAAACGGGTCAGAGGGAAGCAAACCTCTCACTGACAGCCCCGCAGAGCGCACACGCCCAATCCCAGATCTTCGCTCTGGGGCCAGGGACCATGCCAGTTTAATGAGGGTTGGTCGGGTTGGGGGAGGTTCTGGAAACCTCCCGTCCTCAGGTGCCCGTGGGCCTGGGCTCAGCCACTGCCAGCTCCCTGGAGCCTCAGCTCCAACTAAGAGCTCTCTCCAGCCCCTAAAAGGTCAGAGGGCAGGGCTGGTGCACTGGGGCCGGCCACCGTGGCCGCTCCCACCAACAGCTGCTTGCCATCACCACGTGGACTTGTGGCTAACCCTCTCCCCTCCACCCTCCACCCTCCACCCTCCACCCTCCACCCTCCACCCTCTGCAGGCTCCCAGGACTCCCCCTCCCTGCCCTGAGCCTGGAGCTGATTTAGACAATTTCACGGACCTTGGCGTTTTCCTGTCATCCCACATTGCCCCCCGGTGGCCCATTCTAGAGTCTAAGGGTGACCTTAACTCCAGGATTTGGCTCAGGAAATGAGCCTTCCCTCGCCATTGGGAGGGTCCCAGGAGATGGTGCAGGGGCAGCACCTGGCATTCAGGAGGCACTCAATTAACTGATGCCCTTCTTCTTTGAATCGGGGTTGGTTGGCTCAGGGCTTAGAGCAGCCGTGGGCAAACTACGGCCCGCAGGCCGGATCCGGCCCGTTTGAAATGAATAAAACTATTGAAAAAAAAGACCGTACCCTTTTATGTAATGATGTTTACTTTGAATTTATATTAGTTCACACAAATACTCCATCCATGCTTTTGTTCCGGCCCTCCGGTCCAGTTTAAGAACCCATTGTGGCCCTCGAGTCAAAAAGTTTGCCCACCCCTGGCTTAGAGTGTGATGTTCTTAGACCTATATTAAGGCTCAGTCCTTGAAGGAATCACTGTGGCCTAAAAGAAACATTAGTCCCCACCCCCAGTAGTGCCCCTAATCCTCCATCCCCCACAGCAGGGGCACAGAGGACCTGCGAGAGAGGAGGGTGGGTGGCTCGGGGCAGCAGGTGGAGCAGCTCAGAGTCATCTTCAGAAGGAACGGCTGCCGGCTCCCCGGGGAGCCTCGGCCCGCAGTCTCCCAGGTCTCGGGCAGATGGGCAGGCAGTTGCTGGTGCAGGACGTGAACCAGCCATGAATTCCTTCTTAGCACGGGCGGCGCGTGATGTTATTTTCCCATGCAGATGTCCCCGTACTTGAGTAGCGCTTGATGGATTCCCCTGGCACCGAAGAGTGGAGATCGGAAATTTGAGCACCAGGCCATGGAGAACATTCTCTGGTTTATCCTCACGCCTCCACCCCTTCCCTAGAGAAGTGCCCGGCGCCTCGCAGCCCAGCTGAGCTGCACCGTGTCCTCCCCGGGAGCCCTGGTCGGCCCGTTTTCATCTCTCCCAGCCTGTGGCGGGACCCTCCTATCTGCCCTTTCATGTCACACAGGGGGGTGTTGGCTAAACCTACTGATGTCCAGCTTCACCCAGCCTCTCCCTGCCAAGTGCAGGCCCTTCCACACCAAAAAGGGGTCTCGAGGAATGAACAAGACTTCCCCAGATGAGAACACGCGTGTGAATTCCCTGTTAGCGATTTCCTGGCAGCCCCAAGTCAAGGGGATCTGAAAGGTCATTAGAGGTCATGGCCCCCTTGGTCCTCGGGAGCTGGGTCAGAAAGAAAGTGAGGGTTTTACCAATGCCTCCCCCTCCTCCTGGGAAAGGAATAGAGGGTCCAGGAGGGTCTGACTCCTGATTCCACAGCCGCCTGGTGCTGAGGGCAGCTGCCCAGTGGTCTCGGGGAGCTTGACCGCCTGAGCCCGGGGGGAGCTGTTGCTGAATGGGGGGAAAGGAAGGTGAGAGCTCTGACCTCTGGTTCCCCCTGCAGATGCTCCAGTGGCTTTGACCGCTACCGCCAGGAGTGGCTGGCCTACGGCTGTGCCCAGGAGGTGAGAGGCTTACCTGAGCCAGGCTGTGGGGAGCAGGAGAGCTGTCAGCAGGCCCTTGCCTGGTAGCTCTCTCAAGGTGTCTTTGGTTCTCGGTGAAATTGTTCCCTCCCCCTGGGACTCGGATCCTCTGGGAGGCTGTGCCCCTGGTGACATTCGTGAAGCAACTGTGGCTCCAGGGGGTGGCAGCCATTCTGGGAGTGAGAAGAGCTATTCCAGGCTCCTCCCATTTAGAATCCCATACCTGTTCTTTCTCACTAGTGGAATTTCCCAGAATGCTCCGCACTTTGATCCTGGGTGGGGAGGTCCTGTTGTCACCCCTTATACCATCATGTGGGTCATCCGTGTGTCCTTTCTCCCTCCCTTCCTCTCCATCTCCTCTTGCAGTGCAAGCACACGCCCCTGCTGGCTGCCCACGTGTGCTCTGATTTACTCCTCACATGGCCCCGGGAGCTGGGGCTGGTGCCCCACTGGCCAGAATGGGAGGCCGAGGCTCAGAGCGGTTTAGAGACTTGGCCTGCATCTCACAGTTGGTGAGAAGGCGAAGGTGCCGGGCCCGGCATTTAAACGTAAACGCCCAGGCCCCACTGCCGGGCACGCATCACCGTCTGTTTTATGAGGAAGGCTGGGCGAGCAGTCTTTTTCTGGCCTTACAAGAATCTTGTCCAGCGGCCTACTTCTGCCGTCGGCCATTGGTGAATGTACAGATTCGCTCTGTTTATTTAAAGCTGGCATCTCAGCTCCTTCCTTGAGGAAGGATTCAAAACAGTAGACAGATAAGTTGCCCTGTAAGATGAGATGCTTTCAGGTCTGGCCGGTGTGGTTCAGTGGTTGAACGTTGACCCATGAACCAGGAAGTCACAGTTTCATTCCCTGTCAGGGCACACGCCCGGGTTGTAGGCTTGATCCCCAATAGGGGGCGTGCAGGAGGCAGCTGATCAATGATTCTCTCTCATCATTGATGTTTCTCTCTCCCTCTTTCTTCTTCTCTGAAATCAATAAAAATATATTTTTAAAAAAGATAAGCTGCTTTCAGGATAAAGCGGGAAGCTTAAAGGCATGCAGGGCACAGCGTTGGTTAGATTGCCATGCTTGGACCATGCATGGAACCTTACATTTTCTGACCACCCAGGGATGAAAGTGCCCCCCCCCCCACCCCCGTCCCCATTTGTTGGCATGCCCATCAGCGAGGCCTCTGTCCAGGCAGCCGGGCCTCTCTTACAGGCAGAGGGCAAGACGTGCGAGGACTTCCAGGACGAGGGCCACTACTCGTCTTCCCCTGGCAGCTCCTTCAGCCCTTTGGACGGAGACCACAGCACCACCTCCTCCTTCCTCTCCTTGGACAGCCTCACCACAGAAGGTAACGTCGGGGGAGGAGGGAGAGAAGCCCGGGGAAGGGTGACTGCACCGGAGTACCCCCCTCTCTGACAGGGATTATCTCAGGGAATAAGAACTGCCCTGTCCTTTCACACGCGGGGCCTGAGGCTCAGAGACCCCCATTGGGGTCACCTCCTGGTGAGACGCGGAACCAAGTTTAGAATGAGGGGACTCCAACCCAGGCTCTAATGCTGTGCTGGCCCCGTCAGGGCTGTGAGGGGGGAGATGATTGTCCAGCCCAGGGCCAGGTATTTTATACCACATTTCAGTTCATCGTACTAGCCATCCTCATAGAACCCTGAGGTCTTATCATCCCTGTGGAAAGAATAGACTCACTCTAGCCGGGTCACGGTGGCTCAGTGGTTGAGCGTCGGCCTAGGAACAGGGAGGTCATGGTTCAGTTCCCGGCCAGGGCGCATGCCCAGGTTGCAGGCTTGATCCCCAGTAAGGGGTGTGCAGGAGGCAGCTGATCAATGATTCTCCTCATTGATGTTCCTCTCTCTCTCCCTCTCCCTTCCTCTCTCTGAAATCAATAGATATATATTAAAAAAGAAAAAGAAAGGGCCCAATGGCCCAGTAGTTGAGTGTTGACCCATGAACCAGGAGTTCAGGGTTCGATTCTGGTCAGGGCACATGCCCGGGTTGTGGGCTTGATCCCCAGTAGGGGGCGTGCAGGAGGCAGCCAATCAATGATTCTCTCTCTACATTGAAGTTTCTATCTCTTTCTCCCTCTCTGACATTATTAAAAAAAATATTTTTTTTTTTAAAAAAAGAAAAAGAAAGGGGCAAATGGAAAGGAGAGAAGAAGTGAATGTTACAACACTATTTGTCCACAGGCCCATTTTGTAGATACAGGGCAAGTGAGGCTCTCAGTGCAGGTATTAAACCTTCTGGTTCATAGGTCGATGCTCCAAGGCACGCCTGCCGGGCGGCAAATCTGACCTTGTGACCCATTCCCCCGCTCCTCAAGTCCTTCCTCAGCTCCCTCTGTCCCTTAGGAGAACGTGAAATGTCCTCAAGGTGGTGCCAAGCAGCCGTGCCCCACCCCAGCCTCACTCTCCACCCCCCTGCCCCATCCTCACCGCCCTACAGCTGCACGGGCTGCTTTTTATTTCTCAACTGGGCAAGTTCTTGCTGACGCTGGGCCTTTGCCCATGCCCTTCCCTCCGTCAGAAACCCTTTCCTCAGCCCTCCTCCTTGTCTCCCTGTGTCCGTTGAGGCCCCCAGTCAGAGCTTCATTAGGCTGGATCTTAATTGTCCCTCCCTCCCTCCATCCAACCTGTTAACTCCCTGAGGGCGGAGACCAAGTCTGTCCTCAGTGCCTACTCCCAGTGCTCAATTCAGAGCTGACACTCAATGAGTACTTGTTGAATGAATGAATGAACGAACGAACACGAGACTAGGAAAAGCTGGCTTGTTCACGGCCTTCTACCATTGCCCTGCTGTGTGACTTTGAGCAAGTCACCTCCCCTCTCTGTGCTTCAGTTTCCTTGCCTCTGAAAGGAAGGGTTGGACTGGACCTCCCTACAGTCCCATCCGGACCCAGAGTGACAAAGGCCGTAATGATTCCACTAACCTCCCGCCTTCTCTCCCTTCTTTTGGAAGATGACACTAAGCTGAATCCCTATGCGGGAGGGGACGGTGAGTACAGAGCTGCCTGCCCTCTTCTTCAGAGCCCAGCCTCTTGGACCCCCCCCCCGCCCCAGAGGAGGGGGCAGCAGTGCCTGGCCTCGGCTTGCATCCCCAGTGGGGGAGGGGCAGCAGCAGCAGCCTGCGCTTCCTAGACCTCCTGCTGGGCGGGGAGGCCGGGGGGGGGGGGGGGGGGGGGGGGGGGCTTCTGGGCACAGGCCCCCTAGATGGAAGGAACATGTGTCCCCATTAGAATTTCCCATCTTAGGAACTTCCTGTGGTTCTCTGCTCTTGACTATCCGCCCCCCTAAAACGAGAGAGAGGAGTCGACGGGGCTGCACCAGGGCAGCGTGGTGGGGTGCGGCCTGTGGCCATCGGCCTCTTGCCTCTTGCCCCCATGGGCCTCAGCACCTTCTCTCACGTCAACTTTCCTTTGACCCCCCACCTAGGCTGGCAGAAAGTACACCAACATTGTTCACCACAATTTTTATAGGGTGCCGGAAGGTGGGGTCCCCTCCCCCAGGATTACCTGGGAGGCCAGTCTCGCTGATGAGGTGAGGTGGCCCCACCTTTCCTGCTTTTGCCCAGACCCAGTTCAGGCCTTTGCTGCCAACACTGCAAAGGGATGGTGGACGTGCCCCTAACTCCAGGGCCTGGGAGGTCGGGGCCCAGCAGGAGAGAAGAGGCTATTAACGCACACAGTTTGATGGTGGCTCCCACCAGAGACAGAGCTGTTCCTCTTCTGTGGGCAGCAGGTGTGAGCGTGCATGTGTGTTGGGGGGGTGGGCGCAGGGTGGAGGGGCGCCGCTGAGCCACATCCCCTCTCTACACCATGTGCTCATCAGCCCAAGTCCTGACCATCAGATCCCCAGGGTCCCTGCAGGCTGCTGGCCGGCTGCTGGCCAGGTCAGAGGAGGCCAGCTTGGGGGCATCTCCCCTCAACTCCCCCACCTGCTGGTGACAGATGCACAAACCCTACTGCCAAGTGCCCCAGGGGCATTTCTCTCCCCGGTTTCCCCTGCTTTCAGAGAAGAGGGCTTGGGGAGGGCAGTGATTCTGGATGCATGTCACAGCCTTTGAACAATACCATCCCACCCACTAGCCGAGTAAATAAGATCAGATATTCCCGCCGTACGCATGCCCGTCTGTGTCTATTTCATTATCTCCACATCCCTTTAGGGTCGGGAGGAGGCGCACACAGCCAGGTGGTATCGGGAAGTTAGCTGGCACTGGCTCTGTCCTTGGACAAATCCCTCTGCCTCTCTCTATTTCCATGACCTCAGCCACTCGGGAAGGGTGGGACTGGACGAGTGTCCAGCTCCGTAGTCTATGGAAATACTGTTTCCTCCACGGAATATGTTGCAAATGCTTGGGATGTTCTCAGAGAGTGGCTGCTGCTTTATGGGCCTTCAGGCGACCTCGCTCACCTCTTTTATTGAGCTCCTACGATGGGTTGGCCTTTTTCCCTAAGCGCGAGGACATAGAGAGGAGTAAGGCACGGCCTCTGCCCTTCGCGGGGTCACAGTCTGGTGTAATGGACAGTGACGGGTAAAAATGTGGCCATTTTGCTGTCATAATACCTGGCGCTTATTGAGGTCCTCCGAGATACCAGCCATGGTCCTCAGTACTTGACAAGCATTATTTTGCTTTAACCCTCACAATAACCCCAGCAGGTCACAATAATTACCCTTGTTCTGCATACACGATCATTGAGACACTGAGAGGTTAAATAATGTGCCCCAGGCCACACGGCTAGTAAGGGGCAGAGTCTGGGTTTGAGTCCAGGCAGCCAGATTCCAGCTCCCAAATTCTTCACCATCACAGGCCCGGTGTGAAGTCCCCAAAAGTACTTATGTGGCCTGGGGATCAGAGAGAACTTCTCTTGAGATCCTTAGTCCATCGACATTTGGGCAACGTGAAGCGATTTTGAAAAGCCACCTGAACCGTGCCCAGAATGTGAACGCCCTGCTCAGGACTCCACCCACTCCAGCCACCCCTTTGTGTGTATTTGATAAATAGATGGAAGGTGTTGTCAGCTGCCGTCTCTGGGGCTTTGTCAGCACCCAGGACGCCATGGCCCCACCTTCCCGGCTCCCTGCAGCAGCCCTGCCCTAATGATCTCCCCACAGGCCTCCAGGACAACCTGTCCCCCAAGGCCAAGGGCCCCCCGGTGCACCTGGGCACCATCGTGGGCATCGTGCTGGCAGTCCTCGTCGTGGCGGCCATCATCCTGGCGGGGGTTTACATCAGCGGCCACCCCACTTCCAACGCCGCGCTCTTCTTCATCGAGGTCGGCTCCCCGCTCTGCTTCTGCATCTGTGTCTCCCTGGCCATTGAGGACCTGCCTCTCCCCAGCTCATCCCTCCCCCTCCACACGCCTGGCGCCTCCCCCCCCCCCTCCCCCCCGGAACCTTCACCAACTCCATCCAGGCCCATCTCACACTGGCTAGTGCCCTTTTAGTCCCCAAACCCCAGGGAGCTCCTCCAGGCTTCCTGTCCTGTCTGCTTTTGCTTCCCCCCCCCCCCCCCCCGGGTGAAATCAGGCCCCAAAGAAAAGACATGAGGCCAGAAGCGCCACACATGGCCACTGAGTGCTGTGCAGCCAATCCCTAATGATCTATGGCCCCTCATGGCCAGACTCCAGGCCCGGTGTTTATTCAAAGCCATAATGGAACTGAGGTCTCTGCCTCTTTGCTGTGAGGGTTTTGTTTGGTTTTTTATTTTTTAATTTAATTTAATATTTTTTGAGAGTAGGTTTACTAAAGGTGGGGACAGTGAAACAAGGAAGGGCGTAGGACAGAAGAAGCAACTGGAGAGCGTCTAGGCGGGCCTGCTTTTGCTCTCTAGAAATGTCACAGGAGCCCTAACCGGTTTGGCTCAGTGGATAGAAGGGTCCCAGGTTCGATTCCGGTCAAGGACTTGTACCTTGGCTGCGGGCTCATCCCCAGTAGGTGGTGTGCAGGAAGCAGCTGATCGATGTTTCTCTCCCATCGATGTTTCTAACTCTCTATCCCTCTCCCTTCCTCTCTGTAAAAAATCAATAAAATATATTTTTTTAAAAAAAGAAAAAAAAGAAATGTCACAGGAAAGAAATGAGCTGAGGTGGGGCCGCTTGACTCACTGGAAAGTCAGAGAAAAGGCAGCCTGGAGACAGGTCCAGGGGGTTAGGCCAGGACGAGCTGCCGCTGCCCATTGCTCCCCGGGTTGCAAGTCTCCGGGGACCCTGAGAGTTTAGGAGATGAACGCCCGCGAGGGAAGAAAGCCGTGGGCTGCCCCCAGGAGGGAGAGCACACTGCTGTCTGGGTTTTTAGATCAGACTCCACAGACCATACACCGTGAGTGGCTTTCTCTGGGAGCTTTCGCTGAGGATGCGCCAGTTTTGCATGTCTCAGAGTCTGGAAGAGCCAGCCCGCGGTGCAGCCTGGGAGTGAGGCCCAGCCCTCTTCACACTGGGCCACAGAGCTCCGCAGCTCCTGTCCCAGCCCCACTCTTGGCTTCTCACTGGCTCCTCTCCTGGCACAGCGGTGGCACCTCTGTGACCACAGCCTCCTTCCCGGGGAGCACAAACCCACTGACCTCATTACCCAGAGGCCCAGGGGGTTCCCTCCTTTTTGTCAGACGCCCCCTGTTTCTTGTGAATCCTAACCAGCCATTCGTAAGCCTCAGCCTACCTGGCAACCCCAGCCACAGGGGTGCTGACGGGGCAGGTCTGAGACAGGCCCAAGAATCTGCATTTTCATAAGCTCCGCAGCTGACTCTGTTGTAGGACCCGTTCTCTCGGCATTTCCAGAGCCTCCCCGACCGTTCCCTCTCTCACCTACGTCCTCACTTCCCGCTGTCTCAGGGCTCCACTCCGCGTGTCGCTAAAGCTTTCACCTTGAGTCCCGCAGCCCTCACCTCCCAGCAGGTTTCCCTGCAGCGGAGGGAGGGCCCTGACCTTCACCCAGCTCTCAGGAGGCCCCCGGTGTCCTTGTAAAGAGAGTCTCGGTGCTCCCCACTGCCCCTGGGGCGGGCGGGAGGGGGTGGTCCCCAGTGGGTGAGCTCATACCTGCTGACTCTACTCTGTTCCCCGCAGAGGAGACCTCACCACTGGCCGGCCATGAGATTCCGCAACCACCCCAACCACTCCACCTACACGGAGGTGGAGCCCTCCGGCCACGAGAAGGAGGGCTTCGTGGAGGCGGAGCAGTGCTGAGGCCAAGTGGCACCTTGGAAGCGTAGAAAGGGAGTGGAGAAGTGATTTTTCTTGGCCTCCTCCGAACATACGCTGGCTGGGACGCTGGGACAGTGGTGGTCTGTGGTGCCAGAGCTACGGTTTGGCCCTCACACCCCACTATGGAAGCAGGGGCAGCAAAGCAATTGAGTTTTTAAGGAACAATAACCCACTTTCGTCCTCTCTCGATGCCAGGGGTCTCCCCTTCTGGGGCTGTCAGTGGTCTACTCTGTACCTGCCCCAGAGACCCCGTCCCACCTGGAGAGGACCAGACGCCCCTGCATAGGACACAAGAGAACTGAGCTCTTGCCTGGGGCCGCCACAACCCAGGGTCCATAGACTCAAGAGCTGGTCCTCATGGCTATGGATCCGGCGCATCCCGCCCCTGCTCCTGTGGCTGTGGGAGTCTGGAGAAGGCGTTCTCTCCATCCGCGAACACAGGTTCAGCAGCTCTATGCCCTTCGCCAAGCCGCATGGAGGAGAGCCGAAGGAGAGGGGAGAAGAGAACCTCCGGGGAAAGCTGCATCTTTAGGCTTCGCTCCCTTGACGCGCCCTTTCTGCTGGGAGCCGGTACTTCTGTGTCGGACGGACGTGTGTGCAGCCCGTTCAGCCCAGCTGTGGCCCAGCCTCGGCCGGGCGGGCCCTGAGGGCTCTTTATTCCAGCGGCACGGTGCGTGCCCATTGTGTTCACTGGCCTTGTCCTCTGTCGGTGCACAGCTTTCCTGATTGCTCTTTTTCCTCCTCCAAGCTGGATGTGGGTGGCCATTAAAGGGTGGTTTTATGGAGACCTATCCAGCAGAGAACTTCCGCTGGAGTCTGTTGAGCAGCAAAGCCACCGGCACGGTAGGGACACGGGACACAGGACACTCCCAGGGGAAGGAGAGACTTCCTACGGAAAATTGTGACCTGGAGAGATGCCTCCACCGCCTCAGCTCTGCTGAACGTTTTGGGGGTCAGAGAGTTTGAGCTCCCAAACGTAAGCTGGTTCTAAGGGAATTCCGTTCCAGAGACGAGTTGAGGCTGTTTCTGAAGAGCATTTGAAACAAAAATCTATCGCCCTGGCCCATGGGGCTCAGTGGGTTGAGTGCCATCCTGTGCATCAGAAGGCCGCTAGTTCAGTTCATGCCCAGGTTGCAGGTCCAATCCCTGGCTGGGGAGTGTGCGGGAGGCAATCGATCAACGTTTCTCTCTCACATTGATATTTCTCTCTCTCTCTCCCTCTCCCTCTCTCTCTAAAAATCAATAGAAAAATATGTTTAAAAAAACACAAATAAAATGGAAATCTATAGCTCACCCTCATCCAAAGTAAGCAATATTGGCAGTAAATAAATGGTAAATCAGTCTCCACTTGGTCACGCCCTTGCATGCATTGTCATTGGGGACCCTGCAAAAGGAAGAAGTTTACGTGCTTGGCCTCCTGAGGTCAGGGGCCGGGAGTCCACGAATGACCAGACACATCCAAACACTTGACGGTGGTCATCCAGCCACTCCATAGTTTGTCCTCACTGAGGATGCTGATGACAACCAGAGTAGGAAGCGGCTGGCCCTCGTGCATATATATTCCTCCATAAGCCAGACCAGGGAGAGATATGGGAGGTCAGAATCTGAGAAAGAAAAAAGACAGCGCCACAAGGAGAACCGGTTCTTTCCAAGCTTCTGGGGACAGAAACGTCCGGAACAGCCCTCAGTGAGAGACACACAGCCCAGCCGGGCCCTGAAATGATCTGGGCTCCCCGCAGGGAGCCCTGGCCGGCAGGAGGGTGAGTGTTGCCCTTGCCTGACCAGCAAAGCATCTGGACACAAAGAACGTTATGTGTCTAAATGGCCCGCGGGGCGGTTTCTGGGGTGGCCAGATGCAGTATCCCACTCCCAATCCAGCACGCTCTTCCCTGTGGGAGCTCCGCCAGCCACTCTGGATTCCCCAACGGAAAGAACAGGGAGACTGGAGAAAGGGGCGGCGATGCGCCCAGGCCGCTGTCATAACCACTGCAGGTGGAGAAAAAGTGCCTGGCCCTTGGCGGTGGGTCAGAGAAGCCTGGCGAGCCCCTGGGAGGACAGTGCACAGGGCCGTGGAGCTGTCTGGCAGCAGGCGGCCTCGTTTGTTGACAGCAAAAAGAACTAAAGATCCGTCATTAAGAGAGGCCTCCAGGCATTAAGAGCCCCTGGATGTCTCCAGCCAGAACATGTAGCCCCAGAAAAGAGAGCTAGGCACTCACGGGGTTAAGGCTGGGTCCCAGCTACGCTTAGGACCTTGGGCTTTTACTCTGAGGCTTAGTGCAGGTTGGCTGGGGAGCTGTGGGGAGTGACCAGGAGGAGACATCAGGGTCTCATGGTCAGCCCTCCAGGTTTGGCTGACAATCGGTGCATAGCTTTTAGCCCTGCTAAAGCTCAAGGTTCATCAGCCTTCCGAGTTCCTTGATGCACTCTCATGATAATGTTGACAATGGATGGCTTTCCACACCATGGAACCAAGTTTTTAAATGTTTGTGTTTTACCAGAGCTCCCCTGTGTAATGTACCCCTTGTGTGTATATTTTTAGGCATAGATAGATAGATAGATAGATAGATATATTAGAGTAGCACTTCATGTACTGTGCACGATCAACCACAAAGAGCTCGTAGCTTCCGTCCCTCCACCCCACAGGCTTAAGCAATCTCCGAGGAAAGCGGGGGGTTGGCAGGTACCTTCTCCACAAGGTGTCCCTGGGCACCCCCACCCGGGAGGTGGCAGGGCAGGGTCTGTGAGTGTTCATCACTGTGATGGGAAGTGTTAACCCTGTGACCTAGGGCCCTGGGGAGCTGTCTGCGTTGGACCCCGAAACCAGAGATCTCAGGGAGGCTCTGTTTTACGCATGTCTTAAGAGAGCCAACAAGAACGTGGGAAGAAGAGTGAAGAGGCCAGTGTGAGAGGGGACCCTGGACCAGGCTCTGAGAACAACCTCATTCGTCTTTAATCCGCCGCTCTTAGGTCCGTCCAGTGAGGTCCCAGGGGGCTCTGCGCCCAGAACGAGAGTGCATCTGAGCGCAGCACCCAGGAATGCCCCAGGCAGCCGACAGCATTTCCAAGTGTGACTGACTGCCCGCCTCCCTCTCGCCATGATCAGGCATCACCCACTCAGCCCAGCAGACCCCTGGCTCTGGGGGCCACTTCTTCAGGTCTCCGCCTGAAGCCTGAAGTTGAAATGTCCCTCTGTCACTATTAGAGGTGATTGATGGACCCATGGAACCAAGTTTTTCAATGTTTGTGTTTTACCAGAGCTCCCCTGTGTGATGTACCCCGTGCGTGCATATTTTAGGATGAAATTGCGGTGTGCTCAGCCTGTAGCCGGGCTTGTGAAATTAAGACGGTGGCAAAGCCGCCAGCCAACCACACCATTTGAAAGCAGAGTGCTCACCGCTTGAGCTAATCTCTCCTCTGGTTGTGAGCAGGGTGAGAAGAGCCAAGACGCTCTCCTCTGTGTCCCAGAACAGATAACAGATTTGCTCAGAGTATTGACGGGGCTACACCCAGGCTTCCCGGCCTGGAGAAGCCACCCCAGGCAGAGGGCAGACTCACAGATAAAATGTAGCTTCTCTCTCTCTCTCTTCCTCTCTCTCTCCCTCTCTCCACCCCCTTCTTCTCCTCCACCCTCTCAACAAAAACCAACCTGAACGTACAGCACAACTCGAAGGAGGCTCTGGAGAGCTATTGAGGGCACCTAGCTCTCCTAAATGCAACGTATGCACGTGCTTAGCGTGAATTCTATGCATGGATGCTCAAGTGTTAATAATGAAGTCTTTTACGATTTCTGCTGTGTGCAAGATAAACTACAAGATTTTGAATGACATTCTGCAAACTGCCACACAGACCTGAGTCCTGATGACAGACCTCTTCTCTAAGGACCTTCGCTAAGGAGCCTGGGAGCAGCCCCCAGCAACCTGCCCAGCAGGGGGTTTCCCAGCCTCTCGGTCCCACACGGGCACAGGGGTGGGGAGAAGCAGCCTGGACAGAGACAGACCCAGCCATTGATTTATTGGGGGTTTGTAAACCCCTGAAGGTGAACCACCTGGGTTTCCAACCTGCTCTCTAGAGTTACAAATTAAACCCGGGTAAGCTGAAGGGCCGCATTCCGGAAGGTTTGCGTTCAAACCACGTTAGCAGCTTCACTGTGCTTTCATTTTTGTGTTTGTGTGTTGTTTTTTGCTCACAGACATGGTTAAGCAACCCGAAACAAAGAGGAAAAATGTGAACTCCTCACAGCCAACATCAGCTAAGCCAAATTTCAGTCTCCAAACAAGCCAATTTATAAATAAACAGGCCGTGTTTGCCAAATAAAGAGGAGTGTGTTGGAGACGGCAACGTGGACTGGTCCTGGCCGGGAGAGCGCCCGGCTCTGTGGGGAGTCAGAGGCAGGAGCTGTAGCCCCAGCCCTGTCCCCCGAGGCGAGGCGCTGTGTGATGTGATCCAAGTCACCCAACCTCTCTGGGCCTCTGAGAAATAAGGGGGTGAGAAAACAAATTGACCTGAGATGGGAATATACTCCTCTCCTTCGCAAACAGCCTCTCCGGGTTATTTTTCGCTTGGCTTGGTTTTCAGCTCCCACAGCAGCTCAGACCAAAGCATCCCTTTCTTTTCCAGTATCTTCATAGGGCGACCGACGCGTTCTAGTTCTACCGCTGAGCGGCCTGGGTCCCAGGAAACCCCTCCGTGGGGGGACACTGGCACAATGAGTCTATCCTGACCCATTGGCTGAAGAGATAATGTTACTAATTCCAAGCATTTTAGAGTCTTGGGCCTCGCTCTTCAAAGTGTGACCCATACAGGGATCCCCTGGGGTAGTTGGGAAGGCAGAGCTCCTACCCAGATGCCTGGAGTGAGAATCTGCATTGGAGCAGCGCCCCGGGTGACTCACCGTGAAATGAGAGCAAGCGTGAGAGGCACTGCTAGGAAGCAGTTTTACCGACAGGACCGCAGCCTGTTGGGGAATATTATGCCCCCATTTCCCCGATGAGGACACTGAGGGTCACACAGGTGGTTTGCTGCCTTACTTACTAATTTTGGCCCATACTCATTAAACACCTACTGTGTGCCGGGCAGCATTAAGTGACTTGCCTAATGCGCACAGTGGGAAGTACAGTCCAGACAATCCCCCAAACCCAGGTCTTCGAGTTGCCATCTGCTGTTATGCCCTGTGGACCATGGGGCCGCGCCAGAACCACATGGCCACAGTTTAACATGGACGCAGGCTGTAGATTAAAGAGGGGCCGCCCAGGCCTGTGGAGAGCCTCAGTACGCACAGCGATGACTTCAGATACACACTCTTGGCTCTTGAAACTGTGAGCTTATCATCTATTTATTTCCACACCCCAGGAGCTTGAAAATGTCCTCATTGTTGCTGCCTCCTTCACAGCCCCCCCCCCCCCCTCGTAGATTTGGAAGCACTCTCCATAAGCCTTCACAGAACACCAAGGCCAGGCCTCTGTGCTATTTATCTTCTTGAATAGAAAAGAGGACAATTAATTACTTCCTTAGCCAGGGGGAGAGAAGGGAAGTGGGAAGGGAGAGAATGCTCATCTGAGTTGCAAAAACCAAAGAGAACTTCTTTGGGGGACGATTTTTCTGATGTTCTTAAAACGTTGTTACATTTGGTCTCTAGAGATAGCGAAACCATGCCCATAGTTTCCCATAAAGCGAAAGCGCCGGAGAAGAAACATCTGAATATAGGCCAATAACATTTCATCACACAGTCCCAGCCCTGGGTTAGAACCTTCCCGCCAGCTTCAGTCTCTCCTCTTCAAAGTTTTGTTGACCACCACTCGCCCCCGCAACCCCCGCCTCCCCAGATATTGTCACCACCAGGGGATCAGGTGGAATGTCTAAAAGGTATAATATAAGACTCGCCATGTCCAGCTGAGAAAAGTCTGGATACCCTATATAATAAAAGCCTAATATGCTAAGTGTCAGGTCGTCCTGTCATTCGTTCAACCAATCAAAGTGTAATATGTTAATGATATGCTAAGGCCACTCAACCGCTCGCTATGACCTGCACTGACCACCGGGGGACAGTCAGTTGACTGGATGACCAGTCGCTGTGATGTGCACTGACCACCAGGGGGCAGACGCTCTGACTGGTAGGTTAGCTTGCTGCTGGGGTCCAGCCGATTGGGACAGAGCAAGATGGGCCAGACATGCCCTGGAGCCCTCCCGCCATCCTACTCTGGCTGGCAACCTCCTGCGTCTCTCCCTGGTCCCGACTGTGCACCGGTGGGGTCCCTTGGCCTGGCCTGCACTCTCTCGCAATCGGGCTGAGGGACCCCCCCCCCCACACACACACCCGAGTGCACAAATTTTGTGCACCAGGCCTCTAG